CAGAGGTATATATTTTCAATCGCTAGAAAATAGATTGTCAAATACAGGAGAGCACATTGCCAAACACAGGAAAAAACACTGCCAAAAACCGGAAAACAAATTGCCAGACCAAGCCCAAAGCCCCAGGGCCTCCAATTATTGCGGGACCCAGTATCCAGCGCGGCCGCCCGGCCCAGAGCACGCAAATACATTCCCAAAGATATCCAAACACATTCCCAAAAACAACCAAACACATTCCCAGCGATATCCAACACATTCAAAAAGATATCCAACACTTTCCCACCGATATCCAACACATTTCTCGGCCGGCCCAAACACCCCCCTCCCCAAGCACCCGGCCCGCCAAATTAAAAAAAGACCCGCACCTCGCGCCAGGCCCGCGCGCGGGCGCACGGCCCATAAACTCCTCCACATACCCCCTCTTTTTCCCCCAGCACCCAGCGCCAGCGCCCCCAAACCCCCATGAAAGTGCTCCGGCCAAAGCACCAGAAACTCATCTTGCAGTGCTACCCGCCCGGCAAGGCCGCGGACAAAAAACCCAACCCCCTGGAGTTGCTGTACTTGCTCTACTACGCGTCCACGCGGCGCGTAAAGTTGGAGAAGGTGGTGGAGTTCTTGAAACACAAGACCCGGGCGGACGTGCGCGGCCGCCGCCCGGGCAACTTGGTGGTCACGCTCAGCATCGTGCTGCTGCTCATTGCCACGTGCGCGGACAACTTGAACGCGTTTGCGCCGCAGGTGTGCCTGATCTTGCACACGGCGCTGGGCGTCACGGAGTTGCCGCTCTACAAGGCGCTCGTGGCCACGTACGGCGTGTTCTGCGCGCGCTTGGACAACGGCTTGTTTGCGGGCGACAAGGGCTTTGTGGACGCGTTCGCGCACGTGACGCGGGCCTTGGTCGCCCACGCCCAGGCGCAGCTGGCCCGCCAGCCGCCGCGCCGCCGCGACTGGCTGGTGCTCGCGTTGCGCACGTGCCGCCACGCCGTGCCGTGCGTGGGTCTCAACGCGCAGCTCGCGGCGCGCTTCGTGCCGGCGTTCGTGGCCGTGTTGGCGCCGCCGGTGCACGCGGCCTTCCCCGCGGCCGCGCTCGCGGCCCGCCTCCGCGCGGCGCTCAACGTGGAGCAGGGGCCCGGCCCGGCGCTCGCCCGCTTGCCCACGGCCCGCTCCCACGCGGACACGGCGCGCGCGGACCCCGCGGACGACGCGTGGACGGACGCCGACTTGGGCGACGAGGCGCTCCGCGGGCTCCGCGCGTTGTTCCACACGTCGCTCGCGCCGCAGATCGCCGCGGCCACGCGCCTGGTGGTGGAGCACGACTTTGCGCTGCAGACCGGCGGCGGCGGCAGCGGCGGCGGCGGCGCGGCGGCCGCGGCCTGGGGGCCCGTGTTTCTCCAGGTGTGCGCGTCGTACATCCCCGTGCAGTTGCGCTTCGAGACGCTCTTGACGCTCGTGGCCACGCTCTCGGACATTGCGGGCGGCGCGGCCGCGGGCCGCACGGGCTTCTTGCGCATGCGCCACTACGCCACGCACATCCGCGGGCTCGTGGCGCTGGGCTTCAACATGATCGGCCTCTCCATCTCCGACATCTTGGCGCAGTTCCTCGCCTTGAAGACCAGCCTCCACGGGCCCCTCGCGGACGCCTTGCCGCGCGCGCAGGCCGCCGAGCTTAGCGCCATCTACTCCGAGTGCATCTGCAACTTGGCCAGCCACATCTACTACTCCGACCAGGTCCTGGACGCCGTCGAGGGCATCTTGCTCCGCGCCGACTCCGTGTTGCGCGCCGCGGACCCGCGCCACGCCCGCAGCAGCTACCGCTTGGTCTTGGACTTGCTCGACATGATCGCGCGCATCATGGACTTGCTCGCGGCCAACGCCAGCGCCATCGCATGGAACCACGCGTCCTTGGAGGCCTGGGAGCCCAGCTTCCGCTTGTTGGGCTTCGCCCGCGCATACCCAGACTTCGCCGCGTTGCTCCCGCGCGCCGACGTGGCCCGCCTCCAGGCAAAGTACTTGGACGTCGTCCGGTCCTCCCTCGGCCGGGCGCCCCACTCCAGGGCCGTCGCCCAGGGCCCCCTGGGCATGCCCGTGTACGCCCCGCATCTGGCCCAGCCCTCGTACTTGCAGCCCAACTACAAAGGCTACATCGAGGACCCCGCCAACTCCCTCACCGCCTTGCTCCTGCACTGCGGCGACTACTTCGCCGAGGCCTCCTTCGACCCGCCGGCCGCGCGCACCTTGGCCAAGGTCTTGGGCGTGGTGGCGCGCCTCACGGGCGTCAACTTCGCCCACAACTTCCTCCCGTTCTTCGCGGCCTGGCAGCTCCAGGCGCCCACATCCTCCGCCGCCTTGGTCGCCCGCGATTTGTGCGCTTACTACGTCTTGACCTCGGTCTTGGAGTCGGTGGGCGACAGCTATGCGGAGCTACTAGACAGCGACATCGCCTCGCTGAGCTTGAGCAAGGCGCTCCACCACGACATCGAGCTCCGCAGACCCACGCTCTGGACCCTCGCCTCGGCCAGCACGGTCTCACCGCTGCCTGACGTGTTCGCAGGCCAAATCACTGTCGGTGCAATCGAACAATACTTTGCGCAGACCTCCCTCAAGCAATGGCTCCTGTCGCCAAATACCTTGCTTGCTGATTTCGAAGACGCGCAGGGCCACAAGTTGGCTGCGCCCAGGGATCGTTCGGGGCAAAACGCGGCAAGCGACGCGGCCTCGCTTGGCTCTTCGTTCCAAAACGGCCGCCTCGGCTTGGGCACGGCAAACGACATTTCGTCCATCTACTCGGGCCTCCAGAACACGCAGCATAATGATAAAGCTGCAGAGTCTGGCACGCCAGATACGAGCCATGTGACCCACGTGTCTCTCAGGACACCCGCGCCCGCCGATGCCCACAGAAACAGGCGCGTTCTCATGCCCCGCGTGGAGGACCTCAAACTCAGCGTGGAAGGCACGGCTGGTGAAAACAAGCTTGCGTTCGCGGGCGGTGCACACGCAAGCGCTGCACACTCGATTCTCCTGAGGCAGCTCCACACGACGGATGTCATGTCGATTCTCGACGATCTCAAGAGCGACGACGACCGCGAGATTGTGGTCTGATGCCCGAGATCACTGCCCCGTCTGGTTCTGGAACCAGAAATCACGGATACATCCAAGCCTGCTGTGGACATCGGGGCACTGGCTAGAAATGCGGCAGTTGGATTTGCACGGGTGACCAGAGAGACATTGTTCCTTCAGTGTGAGAGGTTGCCATCAGACAATTGTTGTTTCCCATCGGAAACTTGCTGCGTGCGAGAACTCAGGCGGCTGGTTTATGGGGTGGCTCTGTCTCAACTACATGTAAGCAAACCGACTAGTGTGGTACCAAAAAAGAAAAAAAACTTTCTACGACGGGCCCCAGATCGGCCCGGAAAGCAATAAATGAAGGAAAAAAAAAACTTTTCAAAACATTACTACTTACACTTATTCGTCGTCATCGTCTCCCAAGGCTTCGAAAGCGTTGAAGGTGTTGGTGTGCTTGTCTGCGATAGCGTCTCTAGGGTCGACGGCCTTGGAGGAGCCCAAGTTCTTGTTGTTGGGCCTCACACGCACAGTGGTGTCCTTGGCCAGCTCCCTGAAAGCAGTTCTGTCGTCAGCGTGGTCGTCGCCACCGAAGGACTTGCGGGGCTTGACGTAAGTCTCCCAGCCGTCCTCATCGACGGTGGTCTCGGACTTTTTGCGCAAGTTGGGCTTGGGGCCGTTGCCGCGGGACAAGCGTCTTCTGTTGAAATGGTTGTACGAGCGCTCGTGGCCGTGCTCGTCGATGTACGAGTCGCCGTTGGTGATTTTGACTCTTTTTTCGTTAGCCACGTGCTCCCTCACAGACTCCACCAACTTGCTGAAGGACTCCAACACGTCGGGCTTGGGCGTGAATGCGAGTTCTCTGGCTTCTAACAATTGCTCCTCGGTGTATTTAGGCATGTTTGTGTTTAGGGTGGGGTTTCCAGGGAGTAGTGCTGATGTCGTGCGATGTTGAGGTCGGGTCCGGGGACGTTTAAATTTTTCGCTGGGGTTTTTTTGGGTGCGAGACGACTTTGGCATGGCGAGCAACCTGCGCCAGTTGCTGATGCTGGCCGCCCGTGGCAGGGTTTTGCAAAACGTAAAATTCGGGGTCCTAGTATTTTTGGAACCAGGCCAACAAGCTCCCCTGACGACTTCAGTTTGGACTTTATTGCAGGGATTAGAAGGCCCGCAGATTCATGTTGCGCGCAGCCTCGGGAAACATGGTGTTATTCGGGAAACATGGTGCCATTCGGGAAAGCATGAGGAAATATTGGGATCTAGGAGGACATTAAGTCGAGTGTGTCTTTCCTTCTTGTTTTGCGTTTGTTTAGGTTCGCTCCAATTATTTTTTTATGCTTGCCCTAGTTGGGTTCAAGTTCATTACAGAGGGTCGCGCTAATTCATGGCTTTACTTGGTGAGCCACCGATCAGGATGTTCAGGGGCGCTTCTTGCAAGAGTTGTTTTTTCTTTTATTTTCTGGCGGTGCTGTGGCCTTCTTCAACATCTCAGGGCTATGGATATGGCACTCAAATTTGAAAGAATAGTTTCCAGACATTGGGCCGTGGGGTCCACCGTCTTCCTCCTTCTTCAAACGTGTGTTGCTTGTTGGAGGACAAAGAAAATTGAAACATACAAAAAACAATAAAAAACGAAACACTTCCCAAGTTCCACAGAAGCGTGTTTTGGAAGCACCAAAGCCAGCACAGACCTTGAGAGGGCCTCCAACAAGAGCCCCCCAAATCTCGTGGTCTCCCACCATTCTGCGTGCGTATTTCCAGACCCAGCTTATCGCGCAGCTCATCCCAGAAGCAGGCTCCGAATCGCGCATCTCATCTCACCAGCCTGGAGAAATTCACGGGCCCATCACAGTGACCATCTTCTCATAAGCAGACCTCGCAAAATAACCCTACTTTTTGTGTATCTCAAAACACCACAACCACCACTACACATCTGCCATCCCTCTGCATGCCGCTCATCAAGTCGCTCAGCAAGGTGCTGAAAAAACTCGCCAAACAGTCGTCGGGCTCGCTTCACGTCAAAGGTAGAAAATTCAAACAGCTCAACCGAGCCACGGAAAGAGAGCACAAAATCAAGGCTAAGAAGGCCCAGTTTGCCGAGCAGAAAAACCACGAGCTTCTTTTCTACCTCCACTTGCAGGAAACGCTAAACGAGCAGCCCGAGAAAGCCAGCTATGACGTGCCGGAAATGAGGGCCATTTTGGAGGGTTACATCAGTAGGAACGACGCCGAAATCGCCCAGATGGATAGCGAAAGAAGGCCCGGCAGACCCATGTCGAACAGACACCAGATCATGATCGAGAAGCGCAAACACGACCGCCACTTGTTTGTCACGGGCTTCCGCATGCCGGATCTTTCGGACGAGGACACCACCAGAAGACTCCGCAACTGGAACGGCACGAGCGGCTCGCTGTCCGCTTGGAAATTCACCTTGGTGACTGAGCTGCCGCACGAGGCCCCAGACGCCATGGACTAAGTATTCGATAAACGCTTTTTTTATGTTCGTAGCGCATACCCTGTCGGGCGATGAAGCCATCAATAGACGTGTGGGGCTGGGGGCCCAGGCAGGCTTTGTGCTTCGCAAAAACACTCGGAATATACGGCGCTTCGCGAGAAACACTCGCCATATGCTGTGTTTCGCCAGTTACGCCCAGAAGAGTCTCTGCCAACGGGATTTCGGGGCCGCTTGCTCGGTCAAATCCTGGCGTTTCAGGTCCTCACTGATATTCCGAAGCCCGTCGTTCCCAGAAGACTCGCAGTCTGGGTCGGCCTCGTCCAAGTGTCGGTCTATTGCTTGATCTTCGACCAACCAGTTCGCTGATAGCAACGCAGCGAAACAGAACGCGCAAGATATCGAGATGAACTTGATGAGTTTACCGAGTCCAAAGCCGCGACGGGTGAGCTCTCTGCTCAACACGAGCATTCCTTGGGTGTGGCCCGAGCCTATGAGCCTCCAGCCCTTTTTCCGCAATTTCTCCACCTGCCGCAGGAACTTGGCCAAATCATCCTCAGAAAGTGTCTGGAGAATGGCGAACATGTCCTCCGGCACGTGATTCATTCCGAGCGGGTTTCTCTGAGTGTGGAACCGCTGGCCATTGGACGTGAGGATGAGGTACTCTTGCTCTTCGCCCGTGCCAGGAAACATGGGAAAGCTCACGCTCTTTGGCGGCCAGATGGGATTGAAGAAATTGCGGGCTTCGAAAGACCGGTGGTTTTTGTACAACGAGCTGCTCCACTCGAAGGCCGTCTGCTCACGCCATTTGTTTTCGTCTGCGGTTTGCTTGTTGTGCTTGATTTGCTTGAGATACTTCTCGATCTCGTTTCTTTGCACTTGCTTCAGATTGCCAGCATCTGATGTTTGGCGGTACGTGCGCCTGATCTTGTCGGAGGTCAAGTTCACAATCTCCTCGTACTCCAAGGGGTCTGTGTTGAACACGCTTTTTTCCTCCTTGCTCATGGCCTGGGCTAGCGCAGATTGGATAGTGCGTTCCTCGTTTTCAAACAAATTTGTGCAGTTTTCCCTTGGCATGCTAGCTTTGTTCAAAAGATCGAGGACGTGGTCCATGCCCCGATAGATGTTTTGCGAGCCCTGTGGGGCCTTCAGCATAGCAGGTTCTGGGCTCATATCTAGTTCGTCCTCGAGCCTTTCGAAAACAGCGGCGCTGACCAAGACCGTATCTAAGATAGAAGTCTCACCACCGTTGTGCTTGAAAAGCACGACGAGATTGCGATAAAGTTTGGAGTAGATTAGCCCTGTCCCAGACAGAGCGTGTTCCTTAGCGAGTTCACTTACTGCCTGCAAGATTTCAGACATCGAGGCAGCAGCGAATGGCGAGCCGAGTTTGTCTTTCACCTCGCTGAGCTCCATACAATACTCTTCCAAAAAGACGTCATCGGGCACTTGTTTATAAGGTGCGTTCTCCGTGCCCTCCCTCGTAGGTGCCCGTGTGCTGGCCGGCATATCTGTGCATTTGGCTGGTTCAGCCCCCTTGTTGCCGAGTTCAAAAACATTGTGTGACTGCAAAAGCATGTCTAGAATGGCAGTGTTGCCACCATTGCAAGCAAAAAGCCTTTGTAATTTCGAAAGCAATATGAAGTAGCGAGCACAGTTTTTCTGCGAGATTCCATGGGTAATTTCCTGGCTTCTGGCGCCCCGACCGCTTTGAATACCGATCTCTGTTAGTTTCAGTTCCATCGAATCGAGCAATAATTGGGCCAGAATTTCCGCGTAGCTTGACTTCAATCCGTGAGTCCTGAAGCTGTGCAATTCCTGGGCATAGTCATGAAGCGCAAGGGATTCGGGAGTCTCAACATAAGGGCCGTGTACACGCAAACGTGTTTTTGCACCAGAAGATCCATCCTTGACAATGGGGGTATGTTTTTTGGCAGCGACTTTAGATTCAAACGCGTCGAAAACAGACTGGGACTGAAGCATCGCATCTAGCACTTCGGTGTTGCCTCCATTCAAGTCAAACAACTGCCTGAGCCGGGAAGATACCTTCATGATTCGAACTACATTGTCATTATTGAGTCGTGACTCTGGGTTCGAGTTTTTCGCGCCGAGACGGATTTCGTTGGCCCGCAATTCGAGAAGCTTCAAGATGAACTCGCCCAGAAATTTCCTGAAAGGTGCCCGGAGCTCGTCGTGGCGGATGATTTCCAATTCGGGCACGAACATGTGTATTTTGATGTGCTCTGGAATTTGCACATACTGCGTGCCCGAGGACGTGTTTCTATTTCCGACCGTGTGAGTTCTTCTCGTAAGGAAAACAGCACATTGGGAGGGTAACTGCACTGTCGCTTGTTTCCAAGGAGAGGATAGCAGAAACCCCCGAGCTGCGGGGGACTGCGCCCGAAATTTCATGTTCAGATCTGGGAATTCAAAAACACAAGTCTCAATCACTCAAATACTGGTGCAAATTCTGACTTCTACTGATGTCGTACGATATGCCTTGAGATATGTCACGCAATCACCGCAGGACTACGGGGTACCGGTATCGGAGATGGCCCGTGTGTGCAGGATGCCGATAGAGGAAGTAACTGGTGTCCAGGCGCGGCTGAGCCTGTCAGATGAGATTTTTCTGATAAGTGTCTTTTAGGTGTGGCGAGATTTGGATTTCTTAATTTTATAAACAAGCGTGGCGAGATTTGGATTTCTTAATATTATAAATAAGTGTGGCGTGGAAGTAAAGTGTGGAAAGTCTGGCTTCGGGGATATTGGGGATCCGATTAGAGACCCGCAAAGGATAGGATAGGGATGGTCATGAGAGGAGAAAACAGAACATGTTGAAATCTGCATTGCACGCTATATGAAGCGCAGGTACAATTCAGATTATTTTTAAACGAGAGTCGGTCCCGAGATCTTGGATCAATAGCCTAATATGGTCGTCATTGGTATTTAGAACATGCAAAAAAAAAAACGTGTCTGAAAGACTTAAATATTCCAAGGTATGCGGTTGAAGATACAAATAAAGATAAAGATATCTGGGTTTTCTTTTTGGAGCCGACCCTTTGGAAATATAGATGTAATCAATTGTTGTGTGGTTCACTGTGATAAAAGGTAATAACGCGCTTTGCTTCCCAGGTCTAGATTAAAAAACGCCCAAATCCTCTGCCCAGTCTCGTGAAACCAGCTACGACTAAAAATTCTATATGGTCTGAATGCAGCTTTTCATATTTTCAAGAAAAAATGCTGGTCTTTTCCGGCAGGGCAGAATACGATCCACAGATGATTTTAGATGCATAAACCTAGGACTATTCGCAACCACGTGATGTGACCGAATAGAGGGCCAAGCTATCTTATTAAAGTCGAAAACCACAATTTCACAAATGTGCCCTGGTGCCATGTAAATATTTTCTGAACGAAGAAAAAAGTTTGAAATTTTCATGATTTCGGACAGCAATCACATCAGCATATTTCGAGAGCTAACAATGCGATGCCAGGGTTTTTTAACCCCGGATATTTCTAGCTGTATGGGAATTTCTACGGATGGCCATTCAATGCTCGAGAGCAATAATAAAAATTGGCCCATGTTTCTACTGGGTTTATCCAAAAAACTTAGAAAAACATGCTACGCCCTTTGGAGGTGTTTCCTGACACCCCAACTCATTACTTTCGATACTATGATAAAGCCCGGAGAACCTAATTGTCATCGCTCATCCAAAAATTTGTTGAGTTTGTACAAGCCCTGGATATAGAACCACGATAGGCGTTGAAAAGTTGTTTGATAAGTATTTAGAATTGGGCTACCAGCAGAAGCATCAGGGGCTGTTTGCCCACTGCCTCGGCGATATGATATTCAATACAGTTTCAACCAGAAGTCCAGAATTTTCAGTCACCCAACTGTCGAGTTGATTTCCGTCTAATATAATTGAGACTCAGAGTATATTGAAGCACGCACTTCAATCGGGCTATAAGTTTGCAACTACATATAATCCAATTAGGGGTGCACGGGACTAGGCTATGGGCATGTCTAAAACTTTGGGTTAAGTCAGTGTTTGTACCAAGTTAGCAGTGATTTCTCCTATCAAATATATGAGTCATCAAGTGCTACTCTGACTCAGTCATGGCAACTTCAAGCTGCTAGCTTTCTCAAAAACCTCCTAAGAATTTCCCCGAACTCTAATTCCCAAAACCTTTTAAGCATATTAATCCAATGTGACTGAAGATCATCTCATGACGCATCTATTGCAAAAAAAAAACAGTTATGGTCCCCGACTCTCTTCCTCTAATGATCTTCTTTAATTGATCAAGTACAATTCTCTGGAGTCTCAACTAATTTGTTTGGCGAGCCTGGAATTATTTCTCGAGGTAAAAACTAATGAGTTGCAGGCCACCATATTTTACATAGTCCGCATTTATAATCAAAGAGAACGCCATTGGCAAAAACGTGGACTGAACCCAGATGGAAACACCGACGGCGAGTCGGAAACTTTAATAACAATCTCAATGTCTTCATGTAACATGCCCTTCTTCCAAAATCTGCTACTTCCAAAAATAGTACTCCCAAAGAAATCAATCGCTGGAGTTATTGAAATTCTACTGTCACTGGCCTATAGTATGCGATATCCGAAGAGCCCACGACCACAGATCTCCAGCAGATGTGCGAGACTTGGTCACAGGAGTCATCTGGATCACACAAAAATACAATTGGAATTTACTTCTGGTACCATTCATCTTTAAGGACGTTTAGAAAAACTGAATTGGCTGATATTGATTTATTGCAGGCGGTCAAGCACCCGCCCAGACAAGCAGTCGAACGTCAACCAGTTCGAATGTCTAGCAGACAAGCAGTATGAATGTTAGTATCTTTCGTCCAGTACTTCACCAAAATGCAGAAAAGAAAAAAATATGTGAATCGATCTACAAAATTACTAATGTGCATTGCTGGTAGGCAACACTCAAACGGCATTCAAAAGGCAAGTCAGGGCTCATTCAAAACACGGTGCTGTTTTGTAAGCCATACCGAAATATGGTTGACTCGAAACGCCTGACACCCAGTACCTCAACTATTTTTCTGACTTCGGAGTTTCGTCGATTCGTGGACCTCTGGCATGTCCGATAAAGCATTTTCGAGAACTACACCAGAGATTTGACTGAAGAGAGAGCAAACGAGTCAAGCAATTGGCCGTTAATTTCGCATACAGCCCCATGCGAACCCCGTCTTCTCGGAGTCCCGGCAATCAGGGCTCACATGCACACTATAGCTGTGCGAAAAAAACATACCCGTGGGGTCTCAGGGGCCATTACACAGAACGTGAACCCACCCTAATTTTCGCAGCAGGAGCTCTGCGTGTAGCTCTCAGTAAAGGCCACAGCCAGATTAGGCCATGTGCCAGGGCAAGAAAACTTAGTTTGCAAAAGGTTCCCACCACTTCACGAACGTGTATACACCTCTTGTATACACGGCCGAGCAGCAAACAAAATAAGGTTCTGTCTTGGCCGCACCTCGCAAATATTAAGTGTTGCCCCACTTGCACCCATGTGGGCGCGTGGGGGAACCCTTGCACATAGGGTTGCTCAGGCATATAAGGATCGGGATGCGAGCATCAAGCCCGCCCGTGTAAACTTGACAAGCTGGCGTAGCGGTGCTACTGCACACAGCTTGATTTGAAACGTGGGTAGAGTCGCGGTGTGCGTTCTAAGAACCACGGACAAAATAAAGTGGTATGGGAGTTTCTGTGCGTGCTGAGACGCTTCGTGTACGCTTAGAGTCTAGATGGAAGCAGTGAGATCCGTGGTGCCAGAATGAAGAGCCAAACACTGGTTGCCGAATTCCGAGGACGGTTGCCACCTGGCAGACCGTTGCCGCGGCCGGCTTTAGCGCGACGCCCTTGGGAAAAACAGCTAAGAAAAATGGGCCCGAGCAGAAAAAAAATTGCACCATCGTGCGTGGTATAGTAGGGAATAGCGAAAGCATAATCAAAAGCCAAAATTGCCAAAATTGCGTCATGTCTTGACAGCTGAACGGGCGCAATTTAGTGGCATTGTCGAATGCCGGTTTTGCTAAATGGGCTTTTCCAGCCGGACGAGATGGTGGATCTCGGAGCGTTTCGTCTCTAGGCTCGGAGCGACAATCCCGAGCTTCCAGCAAAGGCTTGCATCTGCATCGAAACCGCCGCAGCGCCTTGCGAGTGTTCGTGCACCGCAACCCCACGCGAGCCGCGAAAAAGCAATTCACGGCCTTGGACCCGTGTTGCTGGACATGTCGGTAGAGCCAGGCTGGTTTTCCAAAAAAATTGCAGAATGGCATTTTTTTGATGCCACAACCTGCGGTCGCAAGATGCACGAATCAGCCTGTAAGTGGCAGCGCCTGATGGCAGCACCTGATGCCGCCACACGGCCCGTTGCCCGCTGCTGGCAAAGTAGCGCCTGCACACAGCAGGCCATCTGCTTTACGAGCAGCGTCAGGTTTTTGTTTTCTTTTTTTCCCGCCTGCATCTTCGAGCGGCTAGCAAAGCCGTTTCTCTAAGTTGCCTGACGTCCTTATATCTCGCTTATTTTCTACTCTTTTCTTTCTGCCGAGCCATCGCCACTTTCTTCCAGGACCCAGGCTCCTGTTCCTTAGTACGCCTTTTCTATTGTACGCTTCCTTCGTACTTCCTGAAGCCTCCCTCCATTCCTTTCCCACCCGGTACTCCCACGCCCGCCGTGTGCTGCCGGTTCCGATAGCTGACTCGCTTTTGTACGCCAATTCGCAGACCCTTTTTTCCGCGCCTTAGCTTGGTACATTAGCCGCCTGGCCAAACCCATCTTTACTACCGATCCACCAAAAGGCCGCTCAAACACAAGCAGCGCCAGAAAGGAAAGAAGGAAAGAAAAAAAGAGCTACGCGCCCGGACACAAACAGCCGGAAAAGAAAGAATAAAAGAACTGTCCGCCCTGATACAAACAGCCGGAAAAGAAAGAATAAAAGAACTGCCCGCCCGGATACAAACAGCCGGAAAAGAAAGAAAAAAGCGCCTGCGTGCCCCGGCCCTCAATCACAGCAGCAACCGCCCCCATGAGCTCCGCATTCCTGCTCCCGCCACAGGGCGCTGTGCCCCCCATGTCACTTGACGGTGCCCTCCACGGCCCACACTCCCTGCACGACACCCCCCTGCTGATGGAGAAACTTATCGGCGACTGTTTCCAACAGTCCATGGACCCCCAGGCGTTGTCGCCCAGCCGCCTCGCCTACGCCCGGCGGTTTCACCAGTACCTCGCGGCGTGCCACAGCCACGAGAACCTCGCGTTTCTCTTGGCCATTTTCCGCTACGAGCACTTCTACCGCCGCCAACACACGGGCCATTTGCCCCCGCCCAGTCTCATGTTGGATCGCTATCTTGAAAGTGTGCGTCAACACAGTCCGCGCGTGGTCACAGACGCCCGGCGCCGCTCGACATGCAGCTTCAGCAGTGTGTCGCTGGCCGCGTCGGACGTGTTGCTGGCCGTGTCGGGCGTGCCGTTTGCGCTTGAAATCGAAGAGGCGAGCGACGCGGAGTCCTTCCTGAAAGATGCGGGAATTCCCCTGCCGTCGCTGCAAAACCTTCCTCTGGATTCCAATACAGGAAATGAGTGCTCTTCGGACTGCCTGCTTCTCGGAGACATGTGGCGCCACATCTGGGCCACGTTCATCGCCGACCAGGCCGAGCGCCAGATCAACCTCTCTAACAAAACTTACCGTGCGCTCGTGGAGTTCCACGAGTCGTCCTGCGCGGCGCCCAGCCCGGCGCTTCTCGTGGCGGCCAAGACCGAGGTCATGCGGCTCATCCACGAGAACACGTACCATGCATTCACGCGCATGATGCGCTACGCCGACGACTCTGAACCCAGCTCGTCCGCGTCCGTCTCCCCGTTTGGCTCGCCTCTCGGCACGCCGCTTTCGGCGGCCACCAAGCCCGAGTCGGCGGCGTCACGCGCCCGTAGCTCCACTCCTTCGTCCACCGGCTCCCGCAACGAGCCGGCTTTCCCAATTCAAAAATCCAGCGTGCACGCCTCGGCCTCTTCGGTCCTCTCCGGATCCTCGGGTCCGTCCGTGGCCCCCGTGGCGCAGCGAAAACGCTCCATTCTTTTGCATACACTCGCAGGCCATGCGCCTGCCGCCGGCGACCTCGCCGGCAGCCCGTCCCATCCACTAACCAGCATCCTAAGCCACCTCAAATCGCTGCCGGGATCTCCCGTCTTTGCCCGGGCTTCCAGCTCGGCTCCCCAAACCCCAGCTCCCGGGGTGAATTTCTCCTCCGACAGACACTTGCCGGAAGATGATCTTATTACCCGCCCACGGTCCAGTGCCGTAGCCGAGAGCCATACGAGTGGGTCGCTTTTTGGCAAGTTGTGGAAGAAACGGCGGTGACGCGATGGCGAGGCCTCAGCATATTTATAGACTTGCATATTCACTTCGGCCAGTATATCGGCTGCTTCTTTATTTAGGAACAAGTGTACAACCACATCATTCTAGAGTCTCGTTGTAGGAAAAGTAGCCCTGCATGGATCGGTTATTGGCTTTGGAGCACCAGCTAGATCGATCCACTGAAATTTCTTGCTCCGAAGTCATTAGAATTTTCATTGCAATTACTTGTGTGATTGCGTTCTTTAATGAGCTCCGAGGTATTAACGTTTTGACTTTGAACTAGCTAGGTTGAGAGGGAAATCCAAGTTTTCTCTGGATTCACAGAACTGATAAATGTCGTGTGTTGGAATTCTTGAGTATCGAAGATCATAGAAGCTGACCTTGCGTGGTTGTGGTGTATTGTGATATGTATACTATTGCTAGTAATATCGCCCATACAACCAGGTCATCACTATAGTCTTTTAAAAAGGAAACAAAACCTCGTTTGGATTGCCTCAGTAGTATTCTCATCATTGCTGGAAGAGAAGACAAATGTATCGTATTTTTTTGGTCGACCGTTCCTCGATAATTCCAAAAATGTTTCTATTATGGAACTGACCTATATCTTTGTTCCGCCACGCAAACGTGCTACTATCATGCGATTTTGGAATGATGAATGTCGAATTCCTTCGAAACGAGTTGAAGACTTGAAGAATCAACTGGTACGATGATGGTTGTTTCTTAACACTCAGATGGTATCATAGGAATACAATTTCCAGACGTGAGGACGCCCAAATGTTTTTCTCTAATCGAAAATGGAAACCCACGTTGCGCACGGCTGATACCATTAGAAGTCTCAAGTGATAGTTTTATTCAGAACATTATCCAGCTCAAGCAACATCGAGGTTCCACCATTATCATCACCATAGAAAGTATTAGGCGAGTAGCTCTTTCGGGATTTAGAATCTGTCACTAATTATGAAAAGAATATATATTACAAGCCTTGCCCATCTTTGCTGATCCAGAAAAGCTGGTGTGGCTGGTGCATGTGCATGAAATCAAGAGACAAAGGTTGAGCTGCGAGTCCTGAAAATTGAAGGTTTTGTAAGCCTCTATTACCCGCTTGGTTTGCCAAGATACGAAAGCGGTGCTTAGGGTAACTTTCCCAGTTCTACTTATACGTAGACTGCTTTGCAATCTTTAGAGGTGAGTGCTCAATCTATGATCAATGGTGTACCCCGGTATCATGTGAAGTAAATTTAGACCTGCCTTCTGCACCAATATAAATGGCAAGAAACAGGTTTGGCCACCTGGAAATTTTCTCTTTCTGCTGAGAGTTAAAACCTCGAAATTGCGATCTATAAAAAGGAACCGAAAGTATAAATTACCCCTCCACGCACAACTTTATTGAAAAGAGGTAAAAGTTTCTGAAGGATTGTGAAATGACGAGGCAGAAAAATACCATTTATCAGTTGACACTGATTCCTGGTGTCAATCACATCAAGTGGATTCTTGCAGAAGATTCAATATTACAACCATGGGAAATGAGAAGTCCTTTTTTTGCAAGGGAATATCTGAGAGGATATGCATATCGCTGAGAATTCTACCATAAGAAGGAAAGGGCCGGTGTTTCTGTATGGACTCGAATTTTGAGAAATGCTTGAAACAGAAGACAGATTTCGGGTGAGATAGAGACTCCTACCCATTAATGAATTTGCAAGTGCATGGTTTAGAATATAACAGAATTCATGGACACTAGGACGCATCATAGTGGTGCAGATCCAGGCCAAGATTATTCAGTTGGATTGCAAGAGAAAAGCACAGCGTGGAAGGTGGTACAGACACCGAGCTGTTAGAAAACTTTTTACATCCGAGCTACTAAAGGAAGTGTATTATGCGGCTCAGTTGCCAAAGTTCTAAAACGCTCTTGACGGGTGAATATGAAGTTTTTGTGAGGGGATAATATGAAGGTTCATTATGGGTGAATATGAAGGTTTATAATGAGATAATATGAAAGTTTGTGATGGGTAAAGTTTAGTCGTATTATTTTTCTTCATTCGATCTCCTAGGGAACTTCAAAAGAAGCGTGCAGCCAGACGCTTGCAAGGTGGATGATATGGCGCAGATTCTACCTGTCCTCAGATTTATCCAGCCATAGCCCACCTTACTACTCTCCCGGCCAATCAGTTTCAGAAACTCATCACCAATTAGGTACGATGTAAAAAACGTTTTGTATGTGAGTGAGAGAAAAGCCTGTATTGAGTTAGGCTAGTGACCAGACCAATACGGTATATGCACAGTAGACTTGGTGCATGCATCTACACAATGTATTGGTTTTGAAAAAATATAAGATGTATACAAGTTCCCAGTAGAATCTCTGCTCAGAAGCAAACAGCAAACTGACCCACTTCTGCACGGAGCAAACCAGCAGGTCTGGCTATTCTGTTTTCATGGCGATGACTGCAAGTCATGAGGTACGGACTCAAATGCCGTCATGAGTAGTTTTTTAATAGGCGAATACAATGATTTTAACCTGAAGGTTACTGGTCTTGGAAATAAAAAAATTAAAGAGGGATCACCAAGTTCACCATTGGCACGAACTATAGAAGAAGGCCACGAACTGGAAGAAACTTCATTGGGTGGCTTGAACATCCATCTTGGCTTATATGATGTTTGTGTCTAGAAGTACAAATTAGAGTGGCTCGGCACTTTTTCTGCCCAGATATATAGCTTTGGATAATTTTCAAAAGAGGCCAACGCTAGCCCACAGCCCGACAATTCTTCAGGCCAGGGATTCTGCAGAGCGCCTCATATTGCGTGTTTTACTCTGACATTTTGTGACATGGGCCGTGGATATGTAGCCGACCACGAGAGGGAGTGTCAAGTCCAGCCAGCAGCGATTTCGTGCCATTTCATAGCATCAAACGAGCGGGCTGCTTGTGGCCTACTTATGAAAGGGGCCATGGCTTACTTATCACGGCATGGCCTATATCCTCAAAAGATACAAGGTTGGCCTATATCATCAAACGCGTGGTCTACTATCAAAAGAGTCATGGCCTATTTTCAAACGAGTGGCCAACTTATCAAACGAGTCATGGAACTGTTTTTTTTCAAAGACACATCATATTGAAGGATGTCACCGGAGGGATGTAAAACCCCACCACTAACGAAAAACTATAAAGGGAAAACCTATAATAGATCGCAACATTGGCTCATTGTTTTTGAAGAAACATCAGGTGAGAAGGTACGAGCACCAATTCTGGACATTGCTCAAAGAGGATGGGACCCTCAAAGAAACTTCTGCCCGTAACCAATGTCAACCACTTGAATAAAATTAACTAAATGTCGTTGTCCCATAGGATATCCTGAGGGCCCGTGACCATATTGCATTTGACAAGGCGGCAAGACGTATGTTTGTCTTTGGCTCCTGGTCCCTGAGCAAGTAAACCTGCGAACGACTATAACAAACCAGTAAAGGTTTCTTGGATTTTTTGGTAGACGAGTGGTGTACTTATCCCGCGAGTCATGGTCTTCTTACTAAAGCATGGCGTGCTTACCAAACAAGTGGCCTACTTACCAAACAAGTGGCCTAGTTATCGAGTCATGGCCTCACCAAACCATGACCTACTTATCAACCAAGTGTCCCCATCAAAAAGGTCACGACCTGCTCATCAAAGCATGGCCTCATGAAAGCATGGCCTAGGTTTCAAACGAGTGGGCTACCTTTTAGAAGAACCATGCCTAAAGATCAAGCAAGACATGGCCTTTTTATCAAAAGAGCCAGCGTGACCTACTTTTTCAAACGAGTGGCCTACTTATTGAAAGATTCATGGCCTAATTTTAAACGAGTGGCCTACTTATCAATAAGTCATGACCTGCTTACCAAACCATGGGCTGCTTACCAAACCATGGGCTGTTTATCAAAAGAATCATATATAATCGTCAAAAGAGTCAGGCTGGCTCGGAATATTAAACAAATGGCCTACCCATCAAACAAATGGCCTACTGTAAAAAGAGTCTTATCAACAAGTCATGTCCGACTTACCAAAAGAACCATGCCTACAATTTAAGCAGGACATGGCCTCCTTACCAAACTATGGCATTTTAATCAAAAGAGCCAGGCTGACCTATTTTATCAAACCTACTTATTAAAGTAGTCATGGCCTAATTTCATACGAGTGGTCTACTTATTAAAGGAGTCATGACCTTATTTCAAACAAGTGGCCTACTTATTAAAGGAGTCATGACCTAATTTCAAACGAGTGGCCTACTTATTGAAAGAGTCATGGCCTAATTTCAAAAACGTGGCCTACTGATCAATAAGTCACGACCTGCTCATCAAAGCATGGCCTTATCAAAGCATGGCCTTATCAAAGCATGGCCTAGTCATCAAAGCATGGCCTAGTATTCAAAAGAACCATGCCTACAAATCAAGCAGGACATGGCCTTTATATAAAAAGAGCCAGCGTGACCTACTTTATCAAACGAGTGGCCTACTTATTAAAGTAGTCATGTCCTAATTTCATACGAGTGGCCTACTTATTGAAAGAGTCATGACCTACTTTCAAACAAGTGGCCTACTGATCAATAAGTCATGACCTGCTTATCAAAGCAGGGCCTTATGAAACATGACCTTTTTTCAAACGAGTGGCCTACCTATCAACACGTCATGGCCTCCTCACCAAGAGCCGGGCTACCATACAACGTGAGGCTCAGAGCATACGCGCTCCATCATCCCAGTGGCCTTCTCCATACAGCCATACAGCCACACACCACAACACCAGAATCCCGCCACCTGCGTCTTTTTCCAGGACCCGGCACCTGCATCTTTTTCAGAATCCGGCCCCAAACAGAAAACCACACCCCACGATCGCCCTGCACCAGCGGCTCGGGCTGTTCCTTGAAAATCTTTCTTCTTCTCAATTAATTATCTTTCATTGTGTTTGTTTATGTTTGAATCTTTAATCTTGTAATCTTGCAGAAATATCAATGTGAGATCATCTTACAAGATTAACATCTTTCATAAATTTGACTCACCAATTAAGATGCTTAAATATACTGAAAAAGCAAATTAACAAATTACAAACCTCATGTGACTCATGCCGGCCGGACGGCACACAGCACGCCCGTCCAGATCTCGCACCGCGCTTACGCGCAGCCATTACGCTAATTGGCCCAGCGGCCGCGCACCCGTGCCTCCCGGCCCACTGATAGCACGGCGGATGAAAAAGAGCGCACGTCCCAGATTCCTCCTCCAGTACTCTTCTTCCGTGCCAGCCGTTTCGAGCCGACTTCCGCTTGCAGCCCCTGGATCGACACACGCGCAAAAGAGCTACCTACAGGAAACCCCCCAAATGTTGGCCCGGCACTCTGTTCTCTCTGTTTCCAGAAAGGCCGCCCGGATGCCCCAGAGGGCCGTTTTGGGCGGCGCCAACTTGGCAGCCTATGGCCGCCGAATGGGGCACAAAAGACTATTTTCGGCCGCGGCGCCGCGCCCGTCCACGCGCTCCACGGTGGTGCAGCTTTTGAACAACATCGGGTCCAAGCGCGAGGTGGAACAGTACCTCAAGTACTTCACGTCTGTGTCGTCGCAGCAGTTTGCCGTGATCAAGGTGGGCGGGGCCATCATCACGCACCAGCTCCCGGAGTTGGCGTCGTGCCTCGCGTTTTTGTACCACGTGGGCTTGTACCCGATCGTGTTGCACGGCACGGGCCCGCAGATCAACGAGTTGTTGGAAGTAGAGGGCGTCGAGCCCGAGTACATAGACGGCATCCGCGTGACCAACGCCAAGACCATGGAGGTGGTGCGCAAGTGCTTCTTGGAGCAGAACTTGCGGCTCGTCACGGCGTTGGAGGAAATGGGCGTGCACGCGCGGCCCATCACCGCCGGCGTGTTCACGGCCGACTACTTGGACAAGGACAAGTACCAGCTCGTGGGCAAGATCAACGGCGTCAGCAAGTCCGCGGTGGAGTCGGCCATCGACGCGGGCTACTTGCCGATCTTGACGTCGTTGGCCGAGACGCCGTCGGGCCAGTTGTTGAACGTCAACGCGGACGTGGCGGCGTCGGAGTTGGCGCGCGAGTTCGAGCCCTTGAAGATCGTGTACTTGAACGAGAAGGGCGGGCTTGTGCACGGCGAGACCGGCGAGATCATCTCCGCCATCAACTTGGACGAGGAGTACGAGGGCTTGTTGAAGGAGCCCTGGGTCAAGTACGGCACCAAGTTGAAGATCAAGGAGATCCACGACTTGTTGCAGCACTTGCCGCGCTCGTCGTCCGTGGCCATCATCGACGTGCACGACTTGCAGAAGGAGTTGTTCACGGACTCCGGCGCGGGCACCTTGGTCCGCCGCGGCTACAAGCTCATCAACAGAAACAAGTTGAGCGACTTCGCCAACCTGGACTTGTTGCGTGCCGCGCTCTTGCGTGACCCGCAGATCAAGAGCGGCAAGTTGAGCGTGGCCTCGTACTTGAAGCAGTTGGAGACCGCCACCTTCAAGTCCTACGGCGACGCGCCGCTCGAGGTCTTGGCCATTGTGGTGGAGAACGCCAAGCCCAACGTGGCCGTGCCCAAGTTGGACAAGTTCTTGTCCTCGCGCACCGGCTGGTTGAACAACGTCACCGACAACATCTTCAGCGCCATCAAGAAGGACTACCAGTCCTTGTACTGGATCGTCAACGAGAATGACGCCAACTTGTCCTGGTACTTCCTGAAGTCCGACGGCTCTTTTGCCAAGAACGGCGAGGTCTTGTTCTGGTACGGCTTGGACCCCACGGCCATCGGCAAGTTGATCAAGCAGTTCGACGCGGCCTCCGTGGGCTCGTCCTTGTCGTCCGCCACCGACAGCGGCGTGTTTTCCGCGGCCAAGCAGACGCGTGGCTTCCACTCCTTGACTAAGCAGACACGTGGCTTCCACTCATCAGCCCCCCGTGCCTTGGCCACCACCGCGGCCAAAGCCAACGCGCCCCTCAGAGACGCCACGTCCACCAAGATCTCCAAGGTGGGCTTGATCGGCGCGCGGGGCTTCACCGGCCAGAACTTGATCTCGTTGATCGACAACCACCCCCACTTCGAGTTGGCGCTTGTGTCGTCGCGCGAGCTCAACGGCCAGAAGTTGCAGGGCTACAACAAGGCAAACATCGTCTACCTGAACTTGCAGACCGAGGACATCCTCCAATTGGAGAAGAACCACGAAATCGACATTTGGGTCATGGCCTTGCCCAACGGCGTGTGCAAGCCCTTCGTGGACGCCATCGAGTCCGTGGAGGACTCCCAGTCCAAGATCGTCGACTTGTCTGCAGACTACCGTTTCGACACCACGGGTGAATGGGTCTATGGCTTGCCCGAGTTGGGCGACCGCAAGAAGATTGCTGCGGCAAAGAAAATCTCGAACCCGGGCTGCTACGCCACGGCGGCTCAGGTTGCCATTGCTCCGCTCAAGGACTACATTGCCGGAACGCCCACCGTGTTTGGAGTATCAGGATACTCGGGCGCAGGAACAAAGCCTTCGAGAAAGAACGATCTCAAGCACTTGAGCAACAACTTGATCCCTTACTCCTTGACAGACCACATCCACGAAAAAGAGGTCAGCAACCAACTTGGCCTCAGCGTGGCTTTCATCCCACACGTGGCCCAGTGGTTCCAGGGCATTTCGGCTACGGTGTCCATACCGCTCAAGCCCAAGTCCTTGACGGCCAGAGACATCCGCGGCATCTACAGAGACCAGTACGAGGGTGAGCAGTTGATTGCTGTTGCTGGCGAGGCTCCCGAGGTCAAGGATATCAGCGGCAAGCACGGCGTGATCGTGGGCGGGTTTGCCGTCAACTCGGCCCAGGACAGAGTCGTGGTGGTTGCTACTATCGACAACTTGCTCAAAGGTGCAGCCACGCAATGTTTGCAAAACATGAACCTTGTGCTGGGCTACGGCGAGTACGAGGGTATCCCAGACACGCTTGCAGCTAGTGGTTAGATACAGATGACCCTGTAACTCATATGGATGATATAATATATTGCTAACTTGGACTCGTTGGAGCAGGTGTATTAGATTTCAGTCTTTGTCCTGTGCTGTCCCTTGCACGGTGTAGTATGCAGCTGATGACGAACTTATGGTGCCATTCGACTGCCTGAACTTTTTCGAGTTATTATTTTGAGAGAGAACAGGAATGGGAGGTGAATTTCTTTATAGCCAGGTGTTTGAAGAAAATGCTTCCGGCCTTATTCTGCGAGAACGTATGGAAGTTTTAAATCAGATTTTTAAAGAGTCCGGAAATGAAAACTAGCGGAGTGATTTATGTCTTTACAAGTGGAAAGTAGCAAACATATTATTATTAGTCTATAGAAAATATAATACTATAATGATGTCAAAGTGCCTCCAGTGTTCCCAATAACAAAACCAAGGCGCGAGAGATCAAACGAGTATGAAGAATTATAAGATTAAAACAAAAGGAAAAATATATTATACTCATATGTCGCAAATGAATATAACCTCGCTACAGAGCCAAAAGTTCTCGTTGAAAATGATTTACTTCTGTTCCCCATTCCCAACAAACACTAGATACCTCGAGGACATAAAGGGTTCAGTACTATCGTTTGCGATGGTACATCTATCAATTTTGACATAGCAGAAAATATTTGCCTTGTCATTTTACAAAGAGATTTACCATAGCTGTTGAGGAAAATTAGGGTATCTATATGGGGTGGCACCTTATAATATGATGTTACTTTCAAAAAAAAAAAAAATAATCAGAACGATCAGCAAATTCTACACACTAGATTTCTTTTTTGTTTTTTGGTAGATTTATCTGATTAAAGGGGCAAAACTATATAACGAATATATATAAAAAACCTTCAAACAGCTCCCAGCTACGTGCCAAGTGTATTTCATCAGAAAACAAGCTCCAAGGCGCTTTCCTCCGAAGCAATCAAATTCAAGCTCCTCCATATTGTGACCGAAAAGAATTGTTTGATTCGTTGAGATCTGTCGATATCCATTACTAAATACAAACCGAAAGGTGGCTTTTACAGAGCCCACATTCCTGCTCAATTCCCGGTTGCGGCCATACCATGCAGGAAGCACTGTTTCCCGTCCGATCAACGTTAGTTAAGCTGCATAGGGCCACACTGAGTAGTGTAGTGGGAGACCATATGCGAAATTGTGGTGCTGCAATCTTTTTGTGTCTAAAATCTAACTTGTTTTTTTTTTTACCGGCTAGTCATATGATGCGAATAACATACAAGACAAGCTTGTAGATCGCACAAAATTCACGTGAATCAACTCTGCAAACTCAGCCTAGCTGAAATAAATCCAATGAATAACAGAACAATTTTCAGAATAGGGGAGCCCTCATGATCAGAAAGCACAAAACCTGTGTGGCGCAAGATTGATGCTAGAAATAGCAGTCCTTGGCAGTCCAATATACTTGAGTGTTCGAGAATCAATTCCAGTAGTACAAAGGGTCTCACCGAGATGCAGAATATCTGGCCGGAATATTGGGAATGAATGTAGCAAGAGGTTTTGAAATTAAGAGAATAAACTACGGAAGCTTTAAATAATTCGTTCTTACACATTTGACGTTTTTATTTCTCGTGCGTACATGAAATACTCCTTGAATCTTGGCTTATCATGTTGCCTGAATTCATCAAGACTTTGCCATTATCTCTGCTAAAAATTTATTGGATAGTCTTGATTAAGGGATGAAGTTTATGTTTATACAATATTGGCTATCCAGAATTCGTAGACGAAGACATCAAAAAATTGTAGAATAGCCCAGCAGATGTAATGGAAGACAGAATTACGTATAACTACTGTTTGATTTTATTGCCATAGCAGTACACTTAACACATTGGGAGTATACCTTTTACTTTTATGCGTCAAACTTTTGGAACATTATAATTTTGGAACATGATATTTTTTTCCAGACCTGCACTTTGCAAATTAAATTTGATGTTTATGTTCTTCGCTTTTATTTTTAAAATACTTGTGTACTAATTCCAAGATATTCTTATTCAAATTCACAGTAATCTATTTTCATCATTGTGTTTAATAAGTGAATTCATTATATGAAGTACTACTTCTTTGGTTAAATAAGAATGGTTATCTTTTTTTTTACTGCACTCAAAAATTTTTGACAGGTAAATTAGCGTTTACATAAAATGATAATCTATCAGATAATGCCAACGTAAGTTATAAAGCAAACATCACTCTCTTCTTTTCTTGATAACTTGCATGTGCTTTGCTTATGAAAATCGTAGTATAAATCGTCAATTATTTATGAAATTAAGCATTGGAAATACCTATGGAATTGATTTCGTTGTGATAATCTTCTAAATGTGTTTATATCTTCCAGCCATTATGTCAATTAAATATGAACCTATAACAGTCAAGTGGTCATCATTTAACTAGCTTTAATGTGAATAGTTTCAAAAGGTTTAGATCCATACAATTCATTTTTCTCTTTTTCCAATTGATGGATTTTTATTTTATAATACTCCCTAATACTGGTTTTTAGGGAACCTGCAGTACTGTCACTGCGTCTGTTGATCCATGTAAGAAACAGTTTTGGCTCACCATTTTCCCACGGCCGTTAATTGTGTAGAGTGCAGTATGATCCTCTGGCCGTACAATCTAGTCTTATTTTTGCATATGCCTGTCCATATAGACGCATATCCATGCGACCAGCTAATGAGCGAAATATCTGCAATAATCTTTCATCCAGTCCGGCCGAGTAAAGCATCCTTAGACTCAGCCCCAATTCGATGAAATCAGCTCAATAAATCTAGAATAATGCGCCAGTACAGTAAATCAGGAAATTAAACCGCGAGACCCGTAAGCCGAGAATAATGTACTAAATCAGTAGACCTAACCAGCACAACAAATATAAAACAGTCGTCGCAGCCAATATACCAACCTGAAGTACTAGCAAAGTATTTCAGCAATTATATTATCCTAGTGTTTCAAACCCGTAAAGCTACCAGTATACAAGCAAAATACCCAAACCAATAAAAGATATCATTGAGCAAAACCAAAAAGCATAAACAAATAAAGCTAATGAATAAAGCAACCAGTAATTCGAACCCAATAAACACAGCCAAACCAGCTCTAAAAGCCTAGCCAATAAACCAAATGAATATACAACACAAAAAATTTCAGATCAACGACCTCAACTAAAAACACCCAGTTCAATAACCCAATCCGATAAAAACAATACTCGGTGAGTCAGCAAAATGCATCAAGCTAGTAAATTAAACGAGTTAGGTAAAACACTGAAGCAAACCAGTAAACTCAGAATAATGCCACAAATCAGTAAAAAAAACCTGTGAAGTAAACCCGTTAATTGAACTTGTAAATTAGTCCGGTGAACTCAGCCTCAGTAGCCGAATCCAATTGCCCATTAAAATAAGCCCCCAGCCGAATAAACACGTTGACCAAACCAGTGCACAAACAAAGAGCAGTAAACAAGAACCAGTGAACTTGAGCCAGTAAGCTCATCACAGTAACCTTAATTCAATATCCAGCCCAATATACCAAACCAATATACCAAACCAGTAGGCTTTTCTCGTGAACTCAACCCGATAAACGAGCTCAATGTAAAAAAACCCGTAAAGCAACTCCAAAATACCAAATCAGTAAACTTAAGCAAATAATCTCAACCCAGGATACCAAATTGATCTAAAAAACCAGTGAAGCTAGCCAGTCCACAAAAATGGCGCACACTAATAAGCCAAACTAATAAATCAGACCCATAAATCAGCCCAGTAAACCTGACCCAGTAAACCTAAACGAGGATGAGCCCAAAATTTCCCACAGTTCAAAAAAAACATAAGCCTAAAAGACTCACTAGTAGAGCCAATCAGTAAACATAAACCACTAGTTCTAAAAAATTAGTTTTAGCCAAACCAGTTTTTTTAACCATTAAATCAGCCCGTAAACTTCGACTAATAAACCTGACCCAAGAGCCCCCAACCTATAAACCCAACCATTAAACCAAATCAGAAAACCAAGCCAATCAATTGAGCAAGTTAGACCAAAAATCAGCCCAGCACGCGCAGCCCAGCACGCGCAGCCCAATAAATCCAGCCCTATAAATTTAATCCAATAAATTCAATCCAATAAGTTCAATAAATTCAATCGAATAAACCAAGTTCTACAAGTACCGCCTAACATGCCAAGCCAATAAAATAAGCCAGTGAAGTTCCACAATGATCAACCAATAAACAGCCCACTTCACCAAAGCAGTAAGCCTAATTCAATAATTCAATAATATCAACCAAAAGTATTAAACACAAACCATCAAACAGAACAATAAACCCAGCACAATGTAGCAGGTAAGTGAGCTAAGCCAGTAAATAAATAAGTGGATCAATCTAAAAAGCTCAATTTTAAACACGAAACAGTGACGCCAGCAAAACGTGCTAGACAAGATATATAAAGGAGTGAACGAATCAATACACCAAAGTATATATAAGCCAGTAAGCCAGGCCCTTGAGTCAGTCTACCAGAAAAGTTTAATAAGCAAAACTAATAGACCAGGCCAACAACCCGATCAATAGATCAAAGTTATCAAACCAGTAGACCCATTCAGTGAAGCAAAGTAATCATACCAATGAACAGATTTAATAAGCCAAAATAATCAAACCAGTGAATCAATTCAATATACCAAGTAGTCATACCATTGAGTCAGTTTACCTGGAAAGTAGCTTAATAAGCCAAACAAGGAACCAATTTAATTCACAAACTACTAAACCCAACCAATAAGCCAATGAAATAAGCCAGTGTAATACAGCAAGCCAATAAGCAAATTCCATTATTCAAAGTTATAAGTCAAATCAGTGAGCTAGTCCAAGTAACCGAAGGAATAAAAGAAGCCAGAGCGAGGTATTGAACCAGTCAGCCACGCTCATAAACGGAACAAATAAACCAAAGCTAGTAACTCAATTCAATTCACCAGACTAGTAAACAAACTAGTGAGCCAAGCACATGAGCCAAAGTAATCAAGCCAGTAACCAATACAAAAAAAACTAATCCATCAAACCAGTGAACGGAGCCTATGAGCCAAACTAATAAATCAAACCGGTAACCCATTTCACTACCGAAGGGACCAAACCAGTGAGCAAATTGAATACACCAGACTGATTTATCAAGTCAGTCTGCCATTTCTTGAATCAATGTAAGATCAAAATAGCTTAATAAGCCAAACTAATTAACCAAAAAAGGAATCAGTTTAATCAGCCAAATTAATAGATCAAACCAGTGAGGCAATTCAACAGGCTGAACAAAAAATTCAATTTCGTAAATCCATTCAATACACCATACTAACAAACACAACAGTAAATGGCGCAAAATGTACCAGAACAGATGTGTAAACGATGAACCGATTCAATAGACCAACGTAGTCAAATCAGTGACCTATTTGATACACCAAAGTAGTCCAGCCAGTGAATTAAGCCCACGAGTCAGTATATCAGTCCAATTCAAGGAAATAAACAAACCCAGAAACTAATTTGATTAGCAAAAGTGATGAGCTAAGCCAAAACGTATTCAACCAACTAGAGTAATGCCAGAAACTTATTCAACTAACCACAGGAATAAATTAAACCAGAAACTAGCTCAATAGACGAAGCAACAAACCAGCACCCCAATTCAAAGACTTAAGTAACAAGCCAGTATCCAATTCAATAGACCAAGGGGATCAAACCAGCAAGCTCTTGAAATTTACCAAAGTAATAAATCAATTCAGTAAGCCAGGCCCATGAGCCAAGGTAATAACCTAAGCCAATACCCAATTCGATCCACCAGGCTAATAACCCAAAGCACTATACCAGGCCGTGGACTCACATGTCAGCAGCCCCAAACTTGCCTTTTCAAAACTCAACCCCAATATCCTTCTCATACGTTCCCTCACCCAGGGCACCGGAACCGATTCGCACCCAGCCGGGCGTGCGCGGCCCAAAAGGGGCCATATCTAGCCAGTTTCTCCAGAACCGCCGCTCTGGTTTTATTTCGTCTCCCTGGCCACCCCTGTGTGATTTCTGCCTGCTGTGTGATTTCTGTGTGATTCCTGTCTGTTGTCTGATATCTGTCTGTTTTCGGTCTGCTGTCTGAATTCCGTCTGAATTCCGTCTGATTTCAGCCTGACCCTGTCTGATTTCCGTCCGCTGCTTGTTTCGTCTGCTGTCTGATTTCTGTCTGATTTCTGTCTGAATTCCGTCTGAATTCCGTCTGATTTCAGCCTGACCCTGTCTGATTTCCGTCCGCTGCTTGTTTTGTCTGCTGTC